GGGGTTCGAATTTCGAACAGTTTTTTTCTTCATTATGAGGTGTGAGCGTGGTCGAAGAAAATCTAGGATAGCTTTTCTGTCATTGAGGTCGAAATTGAAGTGAAGACAATCTAGGGTTATTGCAATTGAGGTGGCGATTTTTAGGGTTCTTCGAATTGCACGATCGAAAAAGAGAAATTAGGGCTGATTTTGTGATTTTCCTAAATTAATAATGGGTGTGGTGCGATTTTCCCTCCAAATTGCACATCTGTCCACGTCGGATAATTAATCACGCCATGTATGAAGAGCCCGAAAAAGGAAGAGCCACGTAATAAATTAATCACGCCACATCGGATTTTTATCAAGGGGGGTGATTAGTGTGTCATTTCCGACCAAAATGCCAACTTCGTGTCTCTTTTTCGTGCGTGCCAACATAATGTCTCTTTTGTTGACAACGACCAACTTAGTGTATCATTTTTGTAATTTTGCCCTCCAAAGACACCTGAAAAAGAGAAAGAATGGCTCGTATACCTTATGAATCAGCTATTGGTAGTATTATCTATGCCATGTTATGTACTAAGCCTGATGTGGCTCATGCACTTAGGATCACGAGCAGATATCAGTCCAATCCAGGGGAGGAACACTAGAACCCTGTGAAGATGATCCTTAAGTACATGATAAAGACTAAGGATATTTTTTTGATATACGACAATGGAGAACTAAAACTAGAAGGCTTCATTGATTTTAGTTTTCAGTCCGATAATGATGACTTAAAATCAATTCCGCATACATATTTACCTTGGAGCAGCAGTTAGTTGGAAAAGTTCTAAACAAGAAACGACTGCTGACTCTACTACCGAGGCTGAATATATTGCAGCATCGATGCTGTGAAAGAAGCTGTTTGGATAAGGAATTTCATCCAAGTGTTGGGAGTAGTACCTTCTGTTGTTGATCCAGTAGTGATTTATTGTGACAACAATGGGGCTATAGCGCAAGCGAAAAGAGCCAAGATCTCATCAAAGATCCAAACATATTATGAGGAGATACCGTTTTATTAGAGAAATCATTTGTAGAGGTGATGTCGTTATGGATCGAGTCACTTCAGTAGAAAATATAGCAGACCCCCTGACTAAGCCTTTATCACAGAAAGTGTTTGACGAACATCTTGAGAAAATGGGCCTAAAATACATGAGTGATTGGAACTAGGGTAAGTGGGAGATTGTTTGTAACACCCCTCCTTATCGTTAAATCAGAGTGCGAAAATTTCGCAAAGTTATTTAAAATTAAAGCCTTTTACTTTGCGAAACTGATTCGGGGTGCTACCTTAAAATCGTGACTTAATTTGGAAAACCGTTATTTTAATTTTTTTATAAAATCATACTGATACTGAAACATAAAGTTTTCCAAAAGTTCGTCAAAATATAAGTTCGTCAAAAGTCATCATCAGCGGAAACGTAAATCATCATAATAAATATACAATCAAAACATGAAAGTCCTGAAGCCATCCTCTGCTCACGCTCCCTGCCCGACGTCCTGACCTGAAAAACATGATAACAATGGAAAATGAGCACTATGGCACTGTGCTCCGTGGAAACTTATACTAATGTAAATATTGAAAATAATAACAACATCATGATATCGGCATATACATAACCTCAACATAAAAC